CCAAAGGTCGGTTTCAAACCAGGAAACACTCTAGTGGTAGACAGGTGGTCTGGTAGACAACCACTAGGGGTGGAGTTAACCTTGGATAGTCATTACTGAATTTTCTCAGCAACTGCAATAAGGGTTAAGGGGGATGGGACATTGCACCCAGACCACTTAAATGAGCTGAAGTGTTCTGGGTGCCTATATTTAAGTATTACATGTAAAGCAGTTATGATATTTCTGTATTTGTATTTCTGATAAATCTGATTTCTGTGATACGTGTAACGGTTACATATACAAATAATTTAATTAAGTAAATTATGCATCTCCTGTAACATGGAAGTAAGTGCTTGTCTATCAGGATATATAGTGTGCAATGTCTTAATTGTTGCACCCTCTTAGGTACCAATCCCTATACAACTACACTCCACGTAATGAAGATGAGTTGGAGCTAAGGGAAGGAGATATCATTGATGTCATGGAAAAATGTGATGATGGATGGTTTGTAGGTGAGTTTCAAAGTTGTTATACTGCTGATAATGCACTGGACTTATACAAAATCCTGCTATCTGGAACTGTGCCCTGAATAGCCTAAATGTATTTAATCACTCACAGTAAGGATTACAGTGTGAATGGAAATTAAATGATTAATGATAGAGCAATATAAACCTATATAACAGCTGCAGGATGTAAGATTGTAATTATTGTTGTTGTTAGCATTCATACTTACTGAAACAAAAGCACAATTTAAAAAATAAAGGACAGTCATTGGCTGTCCTAGAGAAAGAGAGGGAGATTATATCATTGCAAATAGTATTTTGAAGGAGCTATAAATATAAACATACAAAATAAAGCCCTGTGCTCAAACGTCCACTACTCCTGGTTGGCAGCAATGACTATAGTACACACCCGAACCCCCACTACATACAATAAAAATGTTACATACACACTCCTCCCAAATTCCTATGCATATTTAAATAACTGGAAGTTTTTTTTAGTACTACTCCAATGGCCATTAGGTGTAAGTCCACCTGCCACATAAAGGCAAAACTTCTTAGTTGAGTCCTCCACCAACAATTCACTGATTTCAGTTAAAAGGCAAAATATCCAAGACAGAGTGGGACATCTTCTAAACCCCTACCCACGTATTAACCCTAAACAGTGGCTTAGGGGTGGACACAAGGTGGGGACAGCAGCACTGTAACATAACTGTGTAACACAAAAGCAAATACAAAATTGATCAGTGTATAGCGATGCTACAGAGCAGGTCCAGGACGGGAGGGGGATAGGGAAGGGACACATTGTGGAGCTGGAGGGTTTAGATAAATGAGGGTTTGGAAGGATGACACATGGAGGGGCTGGGGTGGGAGGATCAGACACATGGAGGAGCTAGGGTGGAAGGATCAGACACCTGGAGGGTCTATAGGGTGAATTAGACACACGGGGGTAGTGGAAGGTAGGAATGAGACATATGGAGGGGAGGACGGGAATAATACATGTGAAGGGGCTGGCGGGGGATGAGACAGCTGGAGGGGCCGGCAGGGGATGAAACACGTGAAGGGGCTGGCGGAGGATGAGAAACGTGGAGGAGCTAGGACACATGGCTGGACTAGGGGGCTGAGAAACGTGGAGGGGCTAGGGGCGATGAGACGCGTGGAAGAGCGACTGGCGGGCATGGAACACATAGAGGGGCTAAGGGGTGAATGACACATGTAGGGGTATGAGACACATGGGAGGGCCCCAGGGCAATTTTTACACTGGGCCTTATGGTTTCTAGTTACACTTCTGGCATGGTGATTTGTTAGAGTAGAACTCCCCTACGAGGTTTTGCCTTAAAATGTCAGGTGAGTTTACACTTGAATGGCCAATGGAGTGACACAAAAAAAAACTCCAGTTACTTAAATTTGTATAGGGATTTAGGATAGTGTCCAAGTAACTTTAGTTTTTTAGAGCTATAAAATATGTTTAGAACAATGTTGCCCAGACTACATAGTATATATCATGCTAGAAGTTCAGTGCTCTATAGCTACCTGCTTTTTGGAGTGTGGAAAAATATAATTATTTATTAACAAACGTTTATTTTCCCTTAGAATGGAAAATTAATTGTAAAGATACACCTTGTGTTTTTTTTCTCTGCTTGTCATAGTAATATGGAGTAATATGGAGGAGTGCCAATCTAGGGACTGGTTTCAATAGCCATGAGCTCTGTGCTCTTAATTGGGAAAATGTGTAACATGCAAATTCATGGAATACAATATTTAGGAAAGTTACAGTTCTTTTGTTAGCTGTACCACTTAATTATAACGTTTTTTAAAAAAAAAAATTCTTTAATTTCAGGGACATCACGCCGAACTAAATTTTTTGGGACATTCCCCGGAAACTATGTGAAGAGGCTTTGAATGATTTTTTGTTGTTGTTCTTCCACCTGTCACTGCACATTGACGTCACTTTTGTAGGAAGCACAGTTCTGTTTTCTGACTTGAGAGTCTAATATACACTTCACATGTAATATGCCAATATTTTGTAGCAGTATTCCATCCTGTCAAAACTCTATTAGACACGTATAATGCTACCTTCTCACACATTGCTTCAGGCTTCCTAAAAGATTTTTTTTTGAGAGCTCACAATGTGATGCCCATGATGATGTCTTCGTCAGGTGCTGGCAACGATTAGCAAATTAGACATTTTATGTCAGACAATCTAGCTACTGTGGGTATTAGCAGACGAACACAGATTTAATTTGATTGTGCTGGCTACATGTTCATAGAAATGCACTCACAAAGAAGGCAAAGACTTGCATTTGCAGCGGGTGTGTGTTTGACAACTTCAATCATAATCTCATGTTGAAACCGCTTATTTCACTTGTGCCCGATGATGTTTGTGAGGCAAAATATAAGATGACTAACTGAAGATAGAGGAGTATATCACACTAAGCAGTGTTCCCCACTGTAAGCTTTTCTTCAGAAAGAAAGGGTATTCGTGATATAATGTTTATCAAAGCTTTGCCAGTGGATCACAATAACTCCCACATAATTACAGTGACCTAAAATAAAATATCTATTTCTTAGGAATTGAGAAATAACATTGGCTTCAATTCAGAAATATTAACAAAAACTATAACAAAGTATGTGCATTATTTGGTGATGGCAAGCACGTTAAACACGTTGTCCTATACACCTAGCATCGGGCTTGTTCATTTTCTCATTCATTTCTATTTTCATGTGAGATGTATGTTTATATAGGATGCAAATACAGTCCTACAAACAACATAGAAGTGGATAACAAAATGCTGGGGCATACAAAGTGCATCCCATTGAGGCTGCAAATATAGTGTACCTGTCATGAGTAAAGCCGTATCATGACAAAATGAGTTTTAATGCTTCTTGAGGAAGGATTGTCAGTATCAACAAGTACTTCATATTTTGTGCAGGCCATTGTATGAAGGCAAAGGCTTATTTAACCATTTTAAACATATGTTTAATGTCATGAAACAGATTGTGTTCACTACAAATATATATTTATAATATTTTGAACATTGAGTTACACATTATCTAGTGATATAGCATCAAATGGCAATCACAAGTATTAAAATTGACATATGCTTACATGTTTTGTGAATGAAGTTATTATTTAAACACAGGGTATTTTTTTTTCTGAATTTACAAATACAAGATATAGCAGTGCCATACACCAATGATAAGTAGCTTACTATTTTAAAAGTCAGATTTCAGTGAGTTCAATGTAGCAGTATTTTGCTGCAAAGGAGTCACCCACTGAACTTAAACCACTCCAATAAACCCCGTTTAAACATAAGCCATTTTATAGCCACTGGTCAACACTTTTCAAACAACCCTTATGGGTGAAAATCTAAATCTGGTTTCTAGTAGAATGGTCTGACATTAGAATACTGAAATATAATGACAATATTATTAAAAAGAGAAGATTGTTACTGGGGTACTAAATTTACCCTTAGAATGACTGTACCTTTATGTAGTTTTATTATTTGTTTAGCTACTTGACAAGTAGCAACTGTATAGCAGGAGATTGTAGACAATGGACCTATTCAGCGTATGTGATAACCTTGTGATATTGCCAGTTGTAATCACTGAATAATGAGTCCTACTGAATTTTGCAGCATTACACAAAACCCGTATTCCGTTCATTGCTTTTCTTTTGGCACTTTAATATTTAGTGTTTACTGCATTTCTCTTTTTACTAGGCTAACACTTTCTGCATAGTTTTTGTATATGTTTGCCTGGTTTGTTTTATTTGTTCTTGCACAGTGCCTCCCCTGTCCAACTGCTCAGAATCTGTAGTTAATCTTCTCATTGGAGTATTTCAGACAGAGCCAGGCTATTGCGTGCTCTCAGCCACATTAAATATTCCAAATCTGTAAAAAATAGCCTTTTCTCAAAGATTTTGTGAAACAATGAACTTGGATTTACCAATACTATCTAAATGTACATATTTATTTGTTACAAAGAGCTATTGAAGTAACCATCTCTTTTGCAGTATACAGTATTTCACGTTGAAGAAAATAAAAAAAGCTTTATATTTGGAAGGCTTTGAATTTTAAACTTGTTCTACTGCATGTCGCTTTGCTATAGAGATAACACCTATCTTTGATGCTGTTACAATGGAGGACTCCTATGTCTAATGCCTGTATTATTATTTAAAAAAAAAAAAAAAAAAAGCACTGTTTTTATGCTATGTACCAGATAACAAAAACGTTTTCATACCTGATTGACAGGTAGTAATCTTTAAGTTCTTACAAGCAAACAGTATTTGTTTACTTTTCCATTGCTTTGAGGGTTTTTTCTTTCTTCAATAGATTGCTAATAAATTTTGCCTGGAATAAACCATGGATCACTCTTTCTTTAGTGTGAACAAAAAAACCAGCACCTCAGTGTTCATGGTATAGACCAGGTTTTCATAAATATTTTTGCAACAGATTCAAATTACATACATGGTATCCAATGACAACCCATATTTCTGTTTTAAAATTACCTCAGTGACCACGTTCATACAATGCAATATAAAATATTAATTCTGCAAATTATTTAATCAGACTTTCTGTAATGTTGGAGAAGTCTCCATCGAACTTTGAACGGATTACTGAAGCAGCTCTAATTTCCAATGTGGGCATTTTCATCGGACTTTATCAATATGAACCCATTGGGAACCCACTGAAATAGCATGGGTGCCCAATTTTGAGTTGTGACCAAGGATTAAGAACGAAGGATATAGGGGAAGATATACAGTTTAAATTAAACAGCAGTATTTTTGAGTGTACCAGTTGCTATAAAGACAGACTTCTGAGTGGCAATAAATGATATGCTATGGGGTTCGTAGAGTTTAAGGTTTAGTTAATTTGTGAATTTTAAAGAAGTACTGTAACGGAGCTCCCTGTACCCCGACTGGGTACCTCCGCCAAAGGACCGCTTCTAGCTGAAACAGGGGACAAACCTCCGCACTCTTGCCCTCAGTCGTCGTGACTTGACTGGGGCCCTGGAACCGAATGGGGAACTCGCTCTAGCAACCCCGCAGGCACTGGATGACACTCAGTTCAGGGATCTCTAGTAGAAGGACTTTCCCCGTTGAATCCTCCACACTGGAACAGTGATTAAAGAATAGCCCTTTCCACTCCCAGTAACCAGACAACATGTAGTTCTGGGAGTTCAAGCTGGAATATATTTATTGGCAGCCACAACTGGCCTTATATGCAGGTCCCCATGCAAGGGGCACTCCCCTCTGGACCTGAGAGTAGACTACAGTAAAAACATATACACGATTACATTGGCTCTCAGGTCCAGGACACTCCCATACAAAACAAGATAATCCCTCCGCTGTGCCTGTGAGATAATGGAGTCAAGCACTGTATTAAACTGAATTATCTCCAAGCACAAAAACACACATTTCCCAAATACCCCAAAAGTACCCTAAAAATACATAAAACCCCACAAAGTTACATCCCTTGATAGCCCCGATCTGGGTGACCAACAGATCCATAAATCACCCAGATTGGTTCAGGAATTTCCTGGAAGTCATAATTTGACCTACCGCACGCTTAGCCGAAAATAGTTCCATGGAATCGCGGCTAAGTGCCGCTGGAGACTGACCAAGAACCGCGAAGTCTTCATGCCAAAAATAGTTCCAGGGCTTTCAGGGCTAAGTCCCCCTGAAGTCTATCCACAGTTTTGGTACATGCGAATGGCTGCCAGGGAGCTAGCGTTCTATGCACACGAATGTAAAGTGCCGAGCCAGGGGAAATAAAATATGGGTCTTTACAGTCGATGGACTGGCCCGGTGGGTAGGAGGCTGGCAAACAGGCTCCTCCAGGAACTCGTGGCAAACTCATGAGGACAGGCGAGTTTGTCACAAGTACTATTAAAAAACAAAGGCAATCTGAATGGAGTAAAAGCAAACCTGTTTTAGTGAAGATACATGCTGTATTACACTGACTGCTGTTTTACAGTGTATTTGGTAAGTGTACACTGATTGTATCATTGTGTACCCTAGTCTGTAACACGCATTAACTGCCAAGTCTGCTTGCTGCTTGGAGGTCTGTCTTTTGAGACAAAACTTGTTGAGTGTACTGCACAAAGCAGGAGATAAAACTTCACATCTATTATAAGTAGCAGTATTTAAATGATGCCAAAATATTACACCCAGGGTCACATTTGGTGAAATGGTCTGACGAGGATTCAAACCTGGGATTCCAATAAAGTGCATTCTCATTCCACTCATTAAATGTTAATTTCCCTAATGAAGTAATTCACAAATGGAGGATACCACACTCACATGGGAATTCAGGGGCTTATCAATGCCAGGGTTGGCAAAACCCAGTTTAGTAGATAAAATAAATTAGGTCCAGGCACTCAGGATTGCTGCAGGAAGGCAGGTTTATTGGAACAAAAAGTGCAAAGTTTCTCTGAAAAGGCAGTGTTTACATGAAAATACTTGTAGAGACAGAATATAGACACCAGAACAACTACATTTGACTTTCTGAAAAAATGGACTTCATGAGCAGGCATACTATCTAAACATGCATACTAATTCGATATATGGTGTCCAATGTACGGATTACCTAATCAGTGCAGAATTTGCTACATACCATAGGCTTTGTCTTAATACGCTTTATTGTGCTGTATAATCAATAAACTTTAAATATATATATATTTTTTTTTAAATAGAGGTCTGGGTGCATTAAGTGTCTTTCTAAAGTGCAACAATTTTTGAGGGGTGAACGATATGTATATTTTGATTGATAGTCAAAGTGTTATTGTTTTAAGGTCATTAACAACAACATTTGAGGCGACTTTTGCATAGAAAAACATACATACATATAGTCAAAGAAGAGCATGTTCTGTGAGAGTGTTAACAATAGATTCAATATGTTCACATTCTATATACGTGAAGATCAGTGACAATGCACCACGAAAGTATCCTTGGAGAGTTGATTTGAGCGCAGGCTGCAAGACCGTTTGAAGATCTTAGTCCACTATTCGTGTGTTAACAGAGCGTCCCAAGTCCTGTTCCCAGTAGTTTGTGTAGTAAGGCAGCTGTTCTTCCATTTATGGGGAAGTTAGTAATTGATACATCAGGATATTGCATGCATCAGGATTGGATACAAATAGTTTTATAAGAGGTTAATTGTCTATTTACTGAGGTAAGGTCGGGAACAGATTAAAGGAATTGAACTAGTTAATGATGTCTGAATCTGACCGTGAGCCACAGAGTACCCACTGGAACAAGATGGCTTCCACCTCAATCCATAGTTTGTCAGGTGGTGGGTGCAACCATCCAATGATCCTTTGCAAGTGGATTGCTTTGTGGTACTCCAACAGATCCAGGAGGCTCAGACCGCCTAAATGTTTAGGTTTTCGTTACAATAGCAAATTTAACTCTTGACTGCCGACGATACCATATAGTCTTGAGAATGACCATCGGACCTGCATGAAAAATATCTGTGGGACATGGGATTTGGCAAGGTCTGTAGAAGGTAAAGAAAGCATGGTCATATGTTTGTTTTCAAAACATTTACACTGTCCAGCCATGTGATGTAAGGAAACAGCCACGCTGGGAGGTCCATTTGTACGCAAGCCAGTTGAAATTTAAGCAAAAGATATTAGAGAGCTCCACTGATATCCAGATTCCGAGGTATTTTAGACCTTCTTTGCACCATTGGAAGGGGAATATAGCTTTGAGTAAGGCAGCAAGGGCCTGTCCACAGCCAATCCCCAGGCTTTCTGACTTTGTGAAATTGATCTTAAGGTTCAAGAACAAGCCATATTGATCTGAGCAGTTTGAAGAGGAGGCTATCCACGTAAGTGGATATTTTGCATTCCCCAGGTTACCCTAATTCCCGCGATCAATTTCATTCTTGCGGATGGCATTTAAGAAGGGCTCCAGACTGAGAACAAATAAGAGGCGACATAGGCAACCCTTTTGCATCCCATTTCAGATCTGAAAAGGGTCCTGAAGTACGCTATTGACATATACCTGTGCTGTGGGGGCAAAGTACAGGGCCCCCTACACATGCCAACATAGAAACATACATTTGTGGAAATAACACTTAACTCTCTCTGATGGCACTGAGTATATAGAGCATCTGGGGTTCCAGTAGGTCAGAGAGTATCTTGTAATATTTAATGCCTAATGCGTTGGGTCCTGGGTTTTTGCCAGGTGTTGTGAACTTGAAAGCGAATGCTAGTTCTTCCGATGTAATCGGTTCTTTTAAGTTGTGCGCAAGGTAAGAGTTCAGTTTAGATATGAGGTGCTGTCATACATAGTCTTTTTCGCAGGTTTGTCTGGCCGTGATCTCGGATTCTGTTAAAGAGAAAGGTATGTTGTAAAGTCTGGTGTAACATTGCCGATATCCAGCCGCTATAGTTTTTGGAGTAGAGCAATTGGTACGAGTGTGAATGATCTTCTGCATGCTCTGCAAGGCTCTGGCTAACAGTTTCCTGCTCCATATTCATAATAGGATTGTTAAGGAGTGTTGAGTTTAGCCCGCGCTGATGTCAATTTCTTGTAAGTATCGTCGTCTAGTGAGGTTTTGTGCAAGGTTTCAAGTTGGGCAACCTGAGTGCGTGAGGAGGTTCTGAATCTCTTGTTAGTGTTGTATCTTAAGCATTGAGCCATGCTTGATAAGTGTCACGTATTCACCCGTACATAAAAATGTGGTTAATGGCATTTACTGTACTGACAGAAAAGTTGTGCCGAGCAACATTAACGTCCTGACAGGAAAAGTTGTGCCGAGTAACAATCATGCACATGGAAACCTGGTAATTACTTTTGGGGTCAAAGACCGGTCATGGCCAATCAAATCCACAGGAGGGTTTGTGCTGAGCAGCAATCACGCACATGGAAACTGGTAATAAACTTTGGGGTCAAAGGCTGGTTCCAGCCAATCTGATTCACAGGAGGGGTATTTAAACCCAATTCTCCTCTTGCTCATTGTTCTGTCGTGGTTTCATGCCTATGGTTATCTGAGAGTGCGTCCCTGATCTTGCTTTTCTGGTATTTGACTTTAGCTTTGAAAACTTCCCTGAAATATGGTATCCTTGACTCTTGGCTTTCCCTCATCTTTGTGTCTGGTTCTGTGTCCCTGACCTCTGCAAGTATTTTGACTATTCTTGGAGATGTTAAGTCCAGCCATTCTAAGGTCCGGTTATATGTTATCCTTAGTCCTAGGTGTGACACAGTACTGCGTGCTGGATCAACTTGTAATCCTGACAAGTAAGCCTCTTACAGCGCATTTGTGAGTTTCCCACATATTGTCTGGGGTAGAATCTGGTATCTTATTGATATGGAATAATTGTTAGAGTTGTTCATGGAGGTCCGCTGATATAAGTGGGTCCTCAATAAACTACTTGTTTCCAAATCCATTGTTTGCGAGAGGACAAACGGGAGGTTATTGATACGATCACAGTGGCATGGTCAGATCAATTCATTGAAGCGATGTAGGCAGAACTAAGTTCATCTAAGTGTTTGTGTTGAACAAAAAAAAAAGCCAATACGGGAGTAGGAGCTATGAGGGGAAAAGAAAAAGGTATAGTCTCTGTCTGCATGGTGTAGCGTGAGCCAGTAATCAGAGAGTTGAAATTCATGAAGAGCCGTCATGCCTCTAATTACAGGGTATGCCGAGGTTCCCATAGACAAATCCACTTTCGGATCCATGGGGGTATTAAAGTCACCACCCAGGATAAGCATTCCCTCGCTGA